ATATATATCATCACGAGCAGGGATTAAAGGCAGAGGAAAGACAGGCAGCAAGATACAGCCTCTCCGGGACCTGGAATTAAGACACCTGGAAAACAATGACTTAGTAAAGAAAAAAGAAAAGCGGGGCTCTGGGAATCAGGCAAGAGCCGGGAGGGAAACTAGAAACTACAGACCCTGTAGAAAGAGGATACTGCGGAGGGGAGGAAGGCCAGCTGCAGTGAACCCTGGCCTGGGAGGGAGGGGACGCCCTGGCTCACGAACAGAAGGGTGGTCTGGAGAGGACCTAGAAAAGCCCACCTGTCCTCAGCTGCAAAAGCAGCCTGGGATCTTCCTCGGAAAGAAGCTCTTTTCACATGGCTGGCTAGAGAAGAAATCTGGTGCAGCACCCGCCATATTTGAGAGGGTTTAATGAGGACCCAGGAAGTATATACTATATATTAAAAATGTTATATGTGTAAAAATCAGCACAGAGATTTCACAGGAAACTAAAACTAAAGATTCCATTCAACCCAGCCATTTCCCTTCTAGGGGGCTTCCCTGAAGAGGCAAAGACGTTATGGTCCAGTGATGCAGATCTCGGAAGGAGCCAGTATATTCATCAACAAATGAATGGATAGAGAAAATGTTATTTGCACACAATGGAATACTGCTCTGCATAAAGAAGAATACATTTGAGTTGTCTGTAAGAAAATGCATGTACGTTGGGGCCATAAAGAGAAATCAGATGCAAGCTTATATATCACACGATTTCTCTTATATGAGAAACACAAAATATAAAGAGCAAAGCGAAAGCTAGATAACAGGAAATAGGGAGATAAATCTTGTGCAAATGGGAAAGGGTTCAAGAGACGGAGGGAGGGACCAGGCATGATGGCACCCAGGGGTAATCCCAGCACGCGGGCGACTGAGGCAGAAAGCCTGCTGCAAGTTTGAGGCCAGCATGGGATACAAAGTGAGTTCAAGGCCACCCTGAGCTGTGTAGTGAAGCCCTGTTTCACACACACACACACACACACACACACACACACACACACACGATGGAGGGAGGGAAGATGAAAAAAAGAGGAAGAAGTAAAAAGACCTCAGATGTGTTATGTATATAGACCAACTCCCCATGGGGAATGTAATCATTATATACTGCAAACATGTACTAATAAAAATTAATTTAAAAATATAATATTAAAATGTAAAAATGAAACCCAAGGACTGGCAAAATATATTTTTGAATCTGTATATCTCACAAAAGATGAATATTAAGAATATTTAAAGAACTCTTGCAAATCATTCAGAGAAAAGTACACAACTCAAAATTAGCCAAAAAAAAAAAAAAAATCACTTGGAAGCCTTTGAAAAATTCTAATGTCCATTCTAATGCTACAAGGAGTACTTAATTTACCTAGGCAAGCTGGGTGTGATGGTGTACACTTGTAATACCAGAACTTGGAGGCTGAGGTAGGAAGATGAGTTCAAGGCCAGCCTGGACTACAAAGTGAGACCCTGTCTCAAAACAACAACAAATTTTTTTTTTTTAACCTAGGCAAAGATCATCAATGGATACAAAATCCAGTGAGAGAGATATCCATATAGTCTCCAAGTATCCACTCACAGGTCACTTGTCCATTACAAAGAAGAAAGAGGAACTTCTGAAATAAATACAGCAGCCACTTCTTCAGCTAAGTAATCAAACTTAACACTACCAACAAGATCTAAAGAGGTTGGGGGAAAAGGAATATATGAACAGGTGAATCGTGAAAGACGTCCAGATGAAAAGCAACCATACAATAGGTGATTGACCGTAGCATTGTAGCATTGTTATAGTTTGGGTGTGGACTGTCCCCCAAAGGCACATGTTAAAGACTTGGTCCCCAGGCTGTGGGACTGTGGAGTGGGGGGTGGAACCTTTGTGTCCTAGGAGATTGGGACCCTGGTCCCTCTTCTTTCTGTTTCTTTGTCACCTGGCTGCCATGAGGTGAGAAGCTTTGGTTCACCAAGTTGTTCCACCTCATCATAGATCCAGAAGTTATTGGGGGGAATCAATCATTAACTGAACCCTGCAAAAGTATGAAGCAAAATAAAGCCTATACTCTTTTGAGTTGATTATCTCAGATGATTTATTACACCAACAGAAAGCTAACCAGTGTGATCACTGATTAGATGCAATCAGAAAAGGCAGAGTAGTTGTTACCCTGGGAGGTGTTGGTGTTGCAGCAAAAAAGTTACAATCCTATATGATATAATCTAGGAGGTGGTTACAGGGTGCATATATGCATTAACTGCAGTTCTCTTCACTGGAGTGCAAGTCCTGGCTTCAATACCCTGAACCACACACATGAGCAAGCAAGCAAACAAACAAAAATAAAAAACATATGCTCCCCACTAAGTTCCCATCTGCAGTTCCTGGGGGGAAATGGTACTATGAAAGTTATTCTGGTTTGCAGAATTCAGAATTCAGTCATTCTGTTTGGTTAAGAATTCTGGTCGGGGGGCCTGCCCCTTAGCTCAGTTCTTTAAGTGGCTGTTTGAACAAAGCAGTCAGGCTCAGGTTGCTGTGGTTCCATCCCCACAACTCAAGCCAGGTATACATGCCCTGAAGGCAATCGGAGCAAAAAAAAAAAGAAAAGAAAAGAAAAAAGAAAAAAGAATTCTGGTCAGCAGAATCCTTGTGGCCACAGGTATGAGGTCTCCCTGTGTCCTTGCTGGCTACCATCAGATCCTGGAGGCTGCCTGTCTTCCTGGTCATGCAGCTTCCTCTGTCTTCAGGCCAGCAGCGACCCACGAATCCTTCTTGGGATCCAGTGCTCTGGCTGCTCTGATGCTTTGTTTTTCTAGAATCTAGATTGAAAGGCCCAGACCTGCTTGAAAAATCTCCCCCAGTTAGTGTCAGAGGATTTGGACCTTAGCGGTATCTGCAGAAGCCCTCTGGCCACACAGGCAAAGATCATCTCAAGATCATCTGAGGATTCTGCCTACCAAAATGACTAACTGATGTCACAGATATATAAGAGGATGTCTCTGTTCTCTGAAGATAAACATGAGGACATTTAGGGATGAGGGTCACTCTGTTTGCAACTTACTTTCAAAGATTCCTCAAAAAACTATGTATGAATGCATAGAAAACATGAACAACTGGTGGATCTAGAAGAATATATGCATATTTATTGTATTCTTCAATCTTTCTGTAGCTTGAGTACATTATCAAAAAGCATAGGATGTACATGGAGTTTACATTCATCTTGGGGAGTAGGCATATGTACACTGAAAACATACTAAAATTTAAAACTTAAAAAAATGAGTAAAACTCATTATATGAAATTTATGCTTCAGCATAACTAGAGCAGAATAGGTAAATTATAGTCATCAATAAATATATTGATAACAGATACCTTCCAACCAAAATAACCACTCAGGGGAAGAAAATGTGATGTTAAAACATCTAACTGGTAATATTTTCCAGAGAGCTGGCCAAATAGCTCAGCAGATTAAAGCACCTGCAAGCAGGCGCAGGGGCCAGGGGTTTGATCCCTGGGCCTGCTGTGCCGGCCCTGCCTCCAGGGCACGCTGAGGTGGTGATCGAGACTGGGCATGGTGGCGGGTGCCTGAAATCCCTGCACTTGGGAGGCTGTAAACAGGAGAATCACTACAGAGGTCAGTCTAGTAGTAAGACCCTCAACACCCTGTAGACCCTTCCCTAAAATAAAATATATGAGTTAACACACCGATAATAATCAAATAACGGAACTAAATGAAAAAAGGGGATATGGATGAATGTCCATTTTGTATCTTTGTATTCAAAGTGGTTAGGATAGATATATAGTTACATTCTCTTAATGAATAGAGGGATTTGTTCTAATAGTGTTTGTAAATAGGATATCATGTCTGCATCTTGTACAGCAATTACCACTAGGAAGAATGTATCCGATGTGTTAATTATCAAATCTGTCCTACCAATTTGGTTTGAAACTGTCTCATTGCTATTTATTTCTCAATAAAATTATGAAAAAATATATATATATAATTTTCCTTTCCTGTAAAAGAGTTATGAAAAAATAGCTCTTTGAGGCTGGGGGTGTAGCTGGCTGGGAAGGCACAGGCCTAGCGCGCTCAAGACCCTGGGCTGGCTTTCCGGAGCCCCACAAAAGAATTTGCCCTTTCTTCAGTGAGGCCTTACTGAGGGAGTCTAGCACATGGGTTGAGTAATTTCACACAATATCTTGAATATCTTTTGAGAAATTTTTGCCACATAAACATGAGTCAAAATATATTTTCTGCTTAAGAATGATGGAGAAGTTGTGTGCTTATTGCTATAACTAATCCATAAAGGAAGAATTTTTTTCTTCTTTCATTATCAAACTGTAGTATGATTAGGAATTCTGAAAATGTATACACTCATCAAGAGTTTTTCTTTCTGTTTCGTTTTTTAAAAAAACCTCTGCAATCACTTATTTCCTTGTGTGTGTGGGTATCATTCCTGCAGATACTAAAATATCAGGTTGGTATGCACAGTAGATAGATGGATTCCACTTCCGAGCTCCGAAATCCCATTTAGCATATTGTCCTTGGATAGAGGGCATCTTTGATATTAAACTGATAAAAATAGATATTACACTTGATACTACTCAAAAGGCCAAGAAGCGATACCCTCTGAGATTTGTCTTTGGCAGATCTTTCGTTTTGTATTGGCTTTTCTAAGTATTTTAGGTTCATGTACAGGTGAACACAGGCAAGTCCGAGCTACTGCAAGGGAGCCTTGACAAACACTCCAGTGTACAATGTATGTCAGGGTATGTGATACACAGTAAGAGATTTGACTCAGTATGCTCAGGCCTAGACTTACCCTAATAAACCTGATTCTTCTTTTTGTTTTACTTTGCTGAATCAGGCACAGATTGTCCTGAATCAATTAAAAATGTTTATCTTTCATGGTTATTTTGACTTTGAGTAAGAGCCAGAAGTTGCACATTGCTAGGTCTGGTGAACATGGTGGATGAGATGTTTTTAATGAGCCTGACTTTCTGTGGGAGGCACTTGGCAGCAGTGTTCATTGTATTTTGATCATACCTCCTAAAGATATTCATAAAAAAAGACATTCAGAATTGCTTCAGAAAGGAGCAAGAGGGCTGGGGAGATAGCTGGGCAGTCTAAGCACCTGCTTGGCAAGTGCAAGGACCTGGGTTTGATCCCTGGCACCACATGCCGTGGCCGAACTGGCCACTGAAACAGGGCGTGGGGGCACACATGTGTAATCCCAGTGCTGGGGAGGCTGAGACAGGAGGATCACTACAAGTCCGAGCTGCATAGCAAGATCCTGTACCAAATAAATAAATAAATAAATAAATAAATCTTTTTTTTTTTTTTAAGGTAGCAAGAATGATGGGATAAATACGTTCAAGGGAGGGCCAGCCAAATAGCTCAGCAGATTAAAGCACCTGCAAGCAGGCACAGGAGCCAGGGGTTTGATCCCTGGGCTTGCTGTGCTGGCCTTGCCCCTGGGGGCATGCTGAGACTGGGCATGGAGGGTCTTTGCACTGAGCTACATCCCCAGGCCTTTTGTAACTTTCATGAGTTGTTCATGTTGGCCTCAAATTTGTGGTCCTCCTGCCTCAGCCTCCAGAGTAGCTGGGATTATAGGCCTGCACCATTACACCTGGCTCAATCTTGTAAATTTTCATCACCTGAAATACAAACACTTAGCTGGACATAGCAGTACATGTCTGAAATTTCAGTGCTTTAGAGGTTGAGGCAGGAAGATTGCAAATTCAAATCCAGCTTGGAGAACTGAGCGCTTCAACATATGGAAAAAAAAAAAAAAAGAGAGCTATAAGCCAATAGAGATTTTTCTTTCTTTCTTTCTTTCTTTTCTTCTCTTTTTTTTTTCTTGGAAGCATCTATAGGGTGTTCAGGGTCTCACTACTAGATTGGACTCACAGTGCTCTGCCTGTTTACAGCCTCCCAAGAGCTGGGATTACAGGTGCGCGCCACCACACCCAGTCTCAATTGCCATCTCAGCATGCACTGGGGGGTGGGGCTGGCACGGCAGGCCTGGGGATTGAACCCCTGGCCCCTGCGCCTGCTTGCAGCTGCTTTAATCCACTGAGGTATTTGGTCAGCCCCAACAGAGTATTCTTACATATTGCTAAGAGTGTTAATTCATACATTTGTGTTGGGGAAATGTTTGATGTCATCACACACGTGAATACTCTTGGATCAACTATTTTTATTACTGATGTAAAGTCCACCAATAAATGTGTACGCACTTCAAGAAAAGAAAAATAGTATGATGTTTTTTTCAACAGATGGTGCTACCCCTGTATGGGGGACTCTAGAGGATATTTTATAACACAGAAGACCCGCTATAATGCTGGCCCTTCGAGAAGAAAATGGAAATGCATGCGCAGCAATCTCAATGACCAGGGCTGCCCAAGCTGCAGTTTGCTGTATTAATAAATGTCTGCATGCTCCTGGCCACCACTTTGAGTACTTCTTGTAAAGGTAGAGACCAAAGGTAACTTGTATTAATCTCATGATGCCTCAGTAAACTTTGCATTAAAATATTTATGCAAGTTTTTCTTTTCCTGAAGTGTGTATACAGTTTTCTGGCAGACGCTGTACAGTGGGTTTGGCCTTGCCCATGTGCTCAAGAAGAACCACATGAAAGTTTCACTGTAGAATCTTTTGTAGTGCATTGCACAGTGCGCCAGCACTTGCATCAGTATCTCTTTCTGCACACATACCACGCACGCTATTATTTGTTCTAAACTACTCGGAAATATGTTAAAGACGTCATGACTAAGAAAGTTGCAGGTTTAGCATTTATAAAATATTAAAAATGTGCAAAACAACATTATTATGTTTAGAAATATATATATACATAACTGGAATAGAAAAGAACAGAAATGCCTGGGAAGATAGCTCAGCAGCTTAAGCTCCTACCTAGCAAGGGCAAGGTCCTAAGTTTGAACCCTGGTACCAAAAAAAAAAAAAAAAAAAAGGAAGACAGGTACAGAAATGATACCAACCAAATTTAGGTGAGTGGGGTGCCTTGGGTATACAGAAGGAAATGTGTTCAAGGGTGAGCACTCACTATCTGGCAAATAAATGAATATTTGTTCTGCTTTCAATTCTTCTATATCTAAGCCCTACTAATTCCAAGATCTTCTCTAAACATTTCCACATCCAGTTGACTATTCCACTTATGATTACTAGTCTCGAGAGTCCCTAGCCCAGTCTTAGGCACCACTAATAGGGTATAATCTGGGACAAATATCCTCTGTTGTTTCTTCTACCCCAGCTTGCTCTTCTTCTCACTTTCCACATGTACTGCATGTAAATTATTTATTCCCCCAATTAGGATGAGCAATGACCTTGTCTTATCAATCATCATATTCTCAGAAACTCTTCCTTCTCAGCCTAATTTACCATAGGCTACCTGGAATTGCTTACTGAATGGCATTAAATAACTTATATGCTTGTATCTGATACAAATGCACACAGGTGATTTTTTAAAATATTTAAATTTTAGAATGATTTTGTATTGAATGTGCTATAGCTTGGATGTTGAATGTCCCCCAGTGGCCCATGTGTTGGAGGCTTGGTAGCCAAGGTGGCATTGTCAGAGGCAGTGAGAGAATTTTTGTGTCACTGGGGTGTCCTTAAAGGGGATGATGGGCCCCTGCACAGGTTTTGCTGTTTCCTGGCTGAGTTGAGCAGTTCACTCCCCCAGGAGCTTCCACCATGGTCACACAGGATGCCTACCACAGGCCTGAAGCAATAGCTCCTGCAAGCCTGGGCTGGGGTCACCAAAACTGTGAGCCAAAATAAATCTGGCTCTTTGTTCCAGCTACTTACTATTAGTGACAGAAAGCGGACACACAAGTTAAAAAAAAAAAAAAATGCTAAGCAAGAGTACATTTATTAGAACTTACATGGGGGTGGGGGATGGAAGACTGGCAAAGTCAACAGCTCTCAGAAACAGAAATGGACAAAATAGGATAGATA